TAGGTTTGGCCCAACCCCGCAGATTTTTACTTTTAAAACTAACTCGACCGCCCTTCGAGCTAGGCCGGCGGCACAGAAACCTTTCAGCTTCGAGCGAAGCCCCTTATCGCAAAACACAAAGCCTCTTGCAGGTCACAACAAACCAAAGCAAATCTCCAACTCCAGGCAAGAGTACGATTCCGTCTTCTGCAGTGAGCAAGGTGAGCATTTGCAGATGAGATTCTCAGCTGCTTCGTTTAGGGGTTTCGGCTTAAGGCTTCGAGGTGTAGGGCAGGCAGCACATTGTTTCCCCGAAGTAACATGCAGGCTTTGGGAGACCTTCTTGACAGCCATTTTCAACCGTCCAGCGCTCACCCTTCTTTATGGTTAGTACGAGAACCTGCTGCCTTTCCACATACGCCTTGACTCTAAACTCGAACATACAACTCAACGGAGGCAGCTCCGGGCTCCTTTTTTAGAGCCATTTAGGGCTTAGAGTTTCAGGGTTTAGGCGTTTCACACAGTCGTGAACTCGTTTCCTTGCCTAGCAGGCGGCGTCAGCATCATCAACTCTGTGACGTTTATATTGAAGTATTCCTTTTGTATGTAGTTGGTACTCGTATTTACCATAAAGCCAGGTTCGTCAAACCAGTCAGGTACTTCACTGTCTATGGCCCCATACCATTTGCGGTTGGGGTGTCCTTGCATGGTGCAAGGGCTTAGGGTTTGGGTTTAGGGATTTAGGGTCTAGGTTTTAGGGACTTTAGGGTTTGGGGTTTAGGCTTTGGAGTTTAGGGTTTATGCTTCAGGGTTCAGAGACTAGGTTTTAGGGCTTACCTTGAGTACTCGAGTACAGCAGCTCATTGAGCAGAGTAGCTGGGTTTCTTTGGCCTTCCGAGCCACCCCAAAAAAGCCAAACAACCTGAGCGCGTAGATTCAGAATTTTAATCAATGTATCAACTCGTAGTATCCGAATTTAAACCAATGTATCAGCTCGTAGATTCAGAGTGTCCCCATTCCTCTGCCAAGGTGTGGTTGGTGGTGTGGCCTCACTGCTGCCCAGAGGGCAATCAGTTTCAGGGACCAGAGTTAGGTTTTCTGCGGACCTTGCCCCGGTTTTCTGACGGATTGCAGGATCCCAGGCTATCCGTAAAGGTGCTGCAGTTCAGAGGTCTAGATAGGGTGTAATGGGGTTTGATCCCGGGTCTTTTCGACGTCTGGGGTAATGCCGAGCATATCTTACTTTCAGAAAACAATCCTTGAAGTGAGGGTCCCTTGCCAAGGTATCTATGAACCGTACGATTCCTTATATAAGAGAGTGGTTCTTATTTTGGCTGTCCTATGATGTGAAGGCTTTGTGCAAACCCTAAACCCTAAACCCCTGAACTACCAGTCAGCTCCCGAAGTCCTTCCTCGAAAAGTTCTCGTGGAAGGCGCGTGGAGAAGACATGTCGGGGGGTGTCCTTACGGAGCCTGTTAACCCTGGAGCCTGAGTTGGAGCCGGATGCATATAATTTAGGGTTTAGGGTTTAAGGTTACAGGGTTTAGGGTTTAGGGTTTAGGGTAGTTCTCTAAATTAGGGTCCGTTTTTAGGTTCCCAATATAGTACGGCACCCTTTTTTGGAAGGACCCTAATAGGGACCCTAAACTAGACAACTACCCATATAAGTCTTCGTTGATTCGTTTGGGATCTTGTGGACTACGAACAACTCCCTGTTTTTTTGTTCAGGGTTGTGAGCCCGAGAAGCCTGGGCCAAAGCCCTGCTGTAGTGGGCATTTACGATCGGGCTTAGGGTTTAGGGTCCGGTTTAGGGTTTAGTGTTTATAAGGTTTAGGGTTTAGGGTTTAGAGTGTTGAGGCGATAGTCATTCGAGAGATTTCTTGCTGAGAAGAGGCTCATCTAGGGCCTAGGGTTCGGGCCAAGACAGAACCCCGAAACTTGAAGCCTGTACCAGTAGAACCTACAGTCCGTTGTGAGATGGGGATACATCGGGTTCCACGCAGAGCATCTATAGAACCTTTCAATATCCACTTCCCTAAACCGTAAACCCTAAACCGATTCGAAAGTGGCCAAGGATGCCTATCAGCTTCCTTGCACTCAGCTTCTGGGTGACTTGGGTAGAGTGGCTTGGCCACAGTGCCCTAAACCTGACCCCCAACCAACACACAGTAGCAGAAATGCAATGACCCCAGCTTGTGAACCCAACTTTCCCCTTACCTCTCAGTCAGGAGCATTTGAGCCTGTTTGATGGGGGGGGGTAGGTCAAGCCCAAGCACTGCCCACCCCCAACTCCAAGAGCAAGACATACTAAGCCCTGAATCTTGATGGAAGATCTCACTTGGTTTTTAGTGGTCGTAGAGTCGGAGGGTTTAGGTTTGGGGTTTAGGCTTTAGGAGAGGGTTCCCTCTTTACTTGGATCCGTACAGTAAGTCTCCCATTTTTGTTGTTTGCGTTGGTCTTGGGGTCGCTCTTCAAAGCTGGGTGCTTTTGCGCGTTCACTGCGGAGCCGGAGCCTGTAAACCCCTGAACTCGCAAGCAACATGCCCTTAACTCTCGAGCTTTGACCGCAAATGCCCCGAACCTTAGAAAGCTCTATAACTCTGCAAACCTGAAGCACAACGAACCAGATTTACCATCCAAGAAGCTTACGGCTCAAAACCTCCATGCGCACATCCCCAACCAAGCCCTGCCCCTGGAACCCCTAAAGCCCCCAAACCTCGAACCCATCTGAGCCCAAGCTTCCAACCAAAACCCCGAAACTCCAAACCTCTACACCCGACCTCTGGATCCAACTGCCTGCTGTTTTTTTTTGCAAGTTTGGGTTCATCACCTCCTCTTTGGGAGAGTCTTGGGCTGTGTGTATACACAATAGCCTTCACACCCCGAACCCTGAACCCTCAGCCCTATATTTCGGAACCCCTGAACCCTGATAAGCCCTTTAAGCCGCATAATCCCCAAACCCTCCGTAGCCATTATTGGCTCAAGGAGGAAACACCACCCCACAAGCCGTTGCCTCTTGGCACAAAGTGCCCGCTTTGATCCGGTAGACTTGCCATGCCGCTGGGACACCTGCCCTCGACACCGGGACTTTTCTCGAGCGGCTGTGGCCCCGGCCGATCTGGTGCTGGCCAATGCTCCCGGCATGGATGTGGAGGAGATCATAGGAGATCCAAGCCCAGCTCAGCGAGATTCGACTGAAAGCAGTCCGGCCTCCACAGGCACGCACGGTGGTGGAAGCACCCTTGTGTGCGACGGTGACGTGGGAGCCTGGATGACGATCTTCTCGTCAAGCTGGAGGTGCGCAAAGGGTCCGGCGATCATCACAATGCCTCCACTTTCGCAAACTGTAGCCCTTTGCGCCGCCCCGTGGATCGTGCCTGGTTTTTTCCCGAGTTGGCCCTGCACTTCAACTCTACTAGGAGTGGTGTATCAGCGCATTCGTTTGCGCTCGTGGTTCTTACTGGCAGACTTTCAACTGGGAGCTGGGTGCTGACACGCCAGAACCCATAGCATAGGTCTGGCTGGGTGTAGGAACGGGTGCGTGGGCAATGGTTGTGTTTTCGTGCACGATGCAGCTTGCACAGCCGTGTTGGTGGATCCTGACCCGCAGGAGTATGGGCAGCATCATGGTGCATGGGCTTTTCTGGATTCCCGTGCAGTGCAAGATCAAGCTGTGGGCAATGACGGCGCTTGCTGCATGTTGTGAGTTGTGCAAAATTTAATACTCTGCAGGAATGAAGCTTGCATGCTTTGAGTGGTGCAGCGGCTTTGTACGTCCATCATTCTTTGCTGTGCGGGTAGCAGTAAATCGCCTGTCCTCGCTGTTAAGTCGCGCGCTTGTCTTTATTTCTTCTCTGCCTCATTTGTGAATGCGGCACCGATGCCACCGTTGCCACACGCAGGCGGCTCGCCGGTTTTGTTGAAGCAGGTGTGGGGGCTACAAGGACCTGCTGAAGTCTGTCTTTTTCGTGCATGTTCTTTGTGAGTTCCTCGAAGAAGTGGGGGAATGGTTTCCGGAAGTCGTGCCTAATCTTCGTTGACATGGGTTTTCCCACATCCGATTGGTCGGCTCTTTCGATACGGTGCTGCCTGCAAGTGCAGGTGCAGGTGGCAAGTACACTGTGGTATGGGAGAACAATGAGAAAGTCCTGTGCTCAGGGCAGCTTTCGATGTCTTTCGTTTTCGCAGCTCCTCCTGTTGAAAGGCCTCGGTGAAAACACACGACGCTCCGAAGAACCTTCCGTGCACGAGCCACCCAAAAGGCTTTGGCCCGCCTGAGTGCTACTGATGCTTATTTGTCTTGTATGACCCACGGTGAGGCCCATTGTAAGCCTTGTATGGTCTTTTGATGAAAAGATGACCGACTCTTTTCATGCTAGCGCCTAGCCCGTTGGCTTCTTGACTTCTTGGAGCATGTGTTAAATGAAGATGCATGAGCTTTTCGAACCCCATTCGAACTCTGCAGGAGGTGAATTTGTATGAGTTTGCTGCACGTGCATCGACACACGTGGCACGACGACGACGGAACCTCCTTCGGCTCGCGGCGACCGCTGGCTTGGCTGAACGTGTTCGGAATGAGCTGAGTAATGCTTTGGTGCACGGTGTAGTCCGCGGTCTGACTGGGACAGCCGTAAGAGCAGATTGCTTGATGGGCTCGGGTGGTTTAGGTTTCTTGGTGCTTGCTTGACTTGTGGGCTGCTGAACGCAGGGCGGTAATTTCGAAATACCTGAGCAATGTCGCAAGCCTCACTTGATGATGGTAGGTGGTGACTGAGTCGAGTATTCGCTCCTTGGGTGGTGTAACGACTTGGAATGGATTGGCCTTAGCATTGGTTCACTGCAGTTGCGAGCTTGGATCGTGTGGAGCCTTGCGTGCGGTGTGCCGACCCTCAAATTCAAAGCCCTTAAGTCCCATAATCCCTGAGCCTTATACCCCAAACGCGCCAATCCAAAACCCTTTAAACCCCATAGTCCCTAAAGTCCTAAAGCTTCTACTTCTACCCTCCAATCTGGAGCCGAGGCTTCCGAGAAGGCTTCTGCGTGCTGATGCAGCTTATTTCAGGGCTTGCTTTTCGGCTGATAAATAGCTGAACCCCAAAGCCATATGGGTAGTTCTCTAAATCAAGGTCTTTTTTGGGTTCCCAAAATAGTACCGAATTTAAAGAACTACCCATGTAGGATAAAGGCCTTGTATAGGTGTTGGGCCAGAATTTTACTTGCTTTAGGCGTAGGTGGAGTGCAGGGCTTCGGGGTCGAAGAACAAATCTGGCCCCCTAAGATTTAAGATCCTTCCACCCCCTCACCAACAAAGGCTATGCCAAAAAACTCTTTAGCAAAGCAGGCCGAATCCCTGAACCCCTTTCAACAGAAGCCGAATATAGGACCCCTTACACGTCCCAAGAGTCTCAGGTGCTTTCCTTTGGTCGCGGTTCCGGCCGGGAGCAGAACTCTACTCGGTTTTGTATCTGACACGAGCCTTGGATGAACAAGCGAACGCTTCAGTCGTATGTTTTACAGGGCGTTGCATTCAGGGTTACGCCAACGGTTCAGGGTTGTCGGGCTCAGCACTAGTATCAAGCATGCGAGTTTGCGTCTTTTGTTTTCGAGGTTGCCAACGAATGGTTCATTGTAGGCTGACTGCTTGGGAGTTAAAAGGTATAGGGTTAGCGATATCGCATCCGAGGCTTGGGATTCGGGTTTCGGGCGTTAGGGTTCAGGATAAATAAGGCCAAGAATGTAGAGACCTGCCGAAGAGACCCCGCGCTGGAAACTCCAGTGCCAAAGGGTCACATCAACAAGAACCCTAAACCCTTAAACCCTACATCCAAAACCCTGAACCCACGTGTTTCTGAAGCGGGTACGCATTGTGGTTTAGGGCAGCTTGGACCTTTTTGCTCTAGTCTAGCGTTCTGGGGGGTAGGATTTCAGAAGTAGCGGCAGAGGAAAAGTCGGTGGTATTCTTCCACTTGCGAAAGAGTTCCACTCCAAGCTGTTTGCGGGCCCAACGAGATTCAATCAAAGTCAATTACGGTAGGGTAGTGAAATGTCAGGATTTACTATATTCCGAAGAGTCTGCAATAGTTTTTTCGTCACAGTCCCCATATAGTCATGACTATGACTATGATTCGACTATGATTAAAGCATACGCCCAAATCCGCGTGTAATTCTGAAGGCTCCTCGTACATGAATTGATCTTCATGCGGGGGTCGGATTTTGATGAGTAAGGCCTTATATTGCAACCCCGAGTCCGGTCTTTTATTTTCAAGCTTGGTCGCAGGAAATGCCGTGATCGCGTTAGTTCCGTTGCTGCCATCGATGTCTGCTCAGATTGTTGCAATGCAACCTGGCAACAGATGAAAGTTCGGCGTTGGGACTTTCGAAGTTTGTTTTCGGCATCAGGGTTCAGCGAGGGTGTTGAGATTCGGGTTCTGGACTTTGAAAACATGTAACATTATCGGGGTGTAGGTGTCTTGCCACGAACTCAACCGAGGTTGAACCCTCAAGCCTGGAAAGGGTCGGAAGTAGGATGGCTCTAGGTTGCTGGTCTGTTGCAAGTCAGCAGACGGAGTTCCGAAAGAGCCGCCGTGCAGCATGAACACAACACTGAGTAGCAGCAGCGACACCCAAAGTCGTAGCAATGATCCCGGCAGCAACAGAAACAACGGAATAATTATTTCGAGTAGGAAAAACTAGCAAAATTTGATTGCCGTTGTTTCTGAGATGGTTGGATGTAACTGCCCTTGTAGATAAGATGTGGCAGATGTCATAGGTTTTGGGAACAACTTGCATTCCCTCAAAGCCCGTCTGTGCGTAAACTAGACGCTGCGAAGACTACCTACTATGGTAGTATATTCAAGAGATTCCGTGTTACGGTTATGATATATATATATATACATACATACATATATATATATATATGTGTGTGTGTGTGTAGCATATTTCGACACCCCAGTTTGCTGTAATGACTGCAATGATTCGGGACCCTTATCGCTTAGATTTCCCCCTGGCTTCCCGGGCAGGAAGCCCGGGCTTCTTGCAGCTGGTTTCATCAAATCCTTGTGTATCACCCAGAGGCTCCATATGTAGTACCATGATGGAATTAGGTCCCTAAAACCTCAATAAGGGTGGTCTTTTGGGACCTAATTCCATGATGGTACTATATGTGGAGCCTCTGGGTTCGCCAATATAGAATAAGGGCCTTACTGATTACCTATACTGTTGTAGGGGGTCCTGATTAAAGTTATAGTATGATATGCCCCAAGACCCTGTTCTAAATATTCAGGTCCCTATGTATACGCCAATATAACCCCGAACCGGGATGAGTTGATCCGAAGTCCTGAGCCAAGCGCTCCCCGAGGAATATGATCCTCTACTCCAGCGTGGTGGTGGCTCCTTGGTTGGCTTGTCAGCTGCCATAAACCACAAGAAGAAGTCTCCGGGGCCGATGGAGGGTATCATCAAAACCCTGATACCCTAATGACCAGGCTTTGGGCTTAGGCTTTTAATGCACACCCCATACAACCCCCTAGGCCCTCGACACTCCAAAAGCCCCAAACCGCCAGACTCCTAAACCCCACCAGCCCTTAAACTCCAAATTAGTCTTTTGGGCCGAGCTCGTGGTTCAGATGATTTCGTGGGTATCTGTCATGAAAGCCAAGCCAAGCAGTTCCCAAACCGCAAAGCCACTGAAGTTCCGCAGCTCCAAAAGGTAAAGCAAAGCTACGAAACCCTAGACCCTAATCCCTGCTTTGATCGGGGCTTCACCCTGATATGGAGGTCTGGAACAGGAGTTATAGTACCCCGTTGTAATCCCCATAGATGAGACTACATATACCATAGCAAGCGGAAGTCTGAACGAGTAAAACCCCTTATTCAAACTCCGGCGGGCCCTATAAAATCCGATAAAGCCCGATCAAGCCCTTTTCTCATCGGTAACGCGCCTCTACTGCAACCTCAGCTGATTAAGGTTTCCTTGATTCAGCCGTGGCGCTTCATCGCCGGCAATGCCTTGGATGTCATGCTCCACGTCGGCTTGTTGGCAACCTGCCGGGTGTAATGAGGATGCCAAAACCTTGAATTCATGAGGGTTTAGAGCTTCCGGGTTCGCTGAACCCTGAGTCTAAACTCCTCAACCCAGAAGTCACTGAGCGGTATGTACAAGGGTGGTGTGTTAGGTGCCTAGGCCCTGCCAGAAATTCCCGGACTTGGAGTCGTCAGAAGGTGTTAACAAAAACCTCATGCCCGCGCCTACGCCCTTTTTTGAGGGTCGAGATGTGTGGGGTCATGCGATCCTATCATGTACCTGCACACCTTTTATTCAAATCTGTGAAGAAACCAAAATAAGCAACGCTTGAAAAGCTTTTGGGGTTTCTGGTAGGAGCTACAGTGACTTTCGTCATTTTTCCCGAACTCCTGTCCGGTATGCAGGCGTTCAGAGCCCAGATTTGGTGGTCCTCGCTCCACAGTCCTCATCCCCCAAGTCAACAATCCTCGGGAAGCACCGATGATCAAGATATCCATGGCTTAAAGGTGCTATCTCATAGCCAACTACGGTTTAGGGTTTAGGGTTTAGCTACGGCAAGTTGGGGTGGTTTAGCTAGTGCACGATTTGGTGCAGCACTAGCACCCCTACAACCATATAGCCCTCCTTCAGGTGTGTCTTGGTGAAGCTTTTTTCTAGGATGGCCCTGTCCTTTTTCCGAAAGCAGACAACCAAGCCCTCCAGTGATACTCCTCAAGCCCAAACCCCCTCAACCCTAAACCCTCGACCCTAAACCCTAAACCCTAAACCCCCTTTTTGTCCTTGAGGTAGTCCTGGACATGGCCTCCACTTTTGCCGGAGCGGAGGCCGACAGTGGCACATCGGTCGTGATGTGTTTGCTGCTCGCCCAAAAGAGGCTCTTGTTTTTTTTTTTTGGAGGGGGGAGGGGGGGAGGGGTTGTGAGATTTGAGGGTTTAGGGACTACTAGGTTGAGAGGGTTTAGGGTTGTGGGTTTTGTGGTACACTGTTTGAGAACATATACAAGGAGGACATCATAGGACGTTTGGGCTATGTGGCTACACGTAGGGATTAGGAACTCGAGTTTATTGTTCGGAATTCCTGGGTTTGGGTCGTAGGCTTTTGGGGCCTAATATCGGGGCCTGCATAAGTGCCAAGACTTTTCGTCTGGATTTCTTAAAAATGTGTACATTGTACACGATGTTCTACCACAACACCCAGTCGAATTCTAGTTAAATGCTTCGCGTCGTCCGCCTCGGCCCGGCTGTACTTGAAGCAGGTGCATTGTGTCGGAAAGCAACAGCACAGCGGAGGTCTTGTGTGAATGGGTGCAATTGCTTCAGAATGTGTGTTTTAATGT